TACTCCGTCGTCTGTGTGTGTGTCATTGCTCTAAAACTTGGCGTAGAGTAAGTATGTGGTCGATGCAACGACGGTCAGGGCGGAAGCCAGCCTAGCTTTCGGTGATTCGTTCCTCACGGGTATCAGCAAATCGTCGAAGAATGACACCCGTGAGGTTTTGAAGCAATAGAAATAAGGCTAATGTCTCGACGATTTTCGCACAAAGTACACTGGTCATTTTTGAAAATAGGCTCAAAAGTTGTTCGTTGTCAGTGTCCCAGATCGTGATTAAAAGAAAAGCAAGTCCAGTCAACGAAGAGTCACCACCATATTCCAACAAAGATGGGGGAAGGTCGTTGGGTCCAGGAGCCTTGTTTCGTTTCAATACAGATAGCTCATATCGAATCTCTTCCAAAGTGTGAGATGTTACATCTACTTCCCACCTCAGGTGATTCGGCAAGCGGCAGTGTCGCAGCAGGTCTGCTGAAATGCGCTTCAAAATGTTCCGCCCAACGGGCTAGTCGACGACGCTGAGAATGGATCAGCAGTCTATCTTTCTCAGCCATTTTCTGTCTAACGGATGACTTTCTCGGTCTCGTGTTCCGGATGAGCTCGAATAGCGCCCAGCAGTTTCCAGTAGCGCTGGCTTTCTCCATCGCACGGGCCTTTGCAACCCACCAACGTTCCCGGTCAACTCGAAGATTCATTGTCAGTGCCCATCGGAATCTGTTTACACGCTTCGATCAAACTGATCGATGCCTCAGGGATCCATTCACACTTACGGCGTCTCAAGCCGAATGCACAGCCAGCGTCAAAGGCGTTCTTAATGACACACTTGAGGATATCCCAATCAGCGTTCGGCTCACCAACCTCATTCATCATCGACTATTTGTGGGTCAGTTCGTTATGATATTGTTGAACCGCAGATTGCGAGTTCAAGTTGCAAGTAAGAAGGTTAGAAGATAGGTGCTCCTTTGAAGTGTAAAGCGTGAGCGTTAAGCGTGTGCGCACTAGAGCATAGTCGAAATCTAGGCATTTGCTCCAAATTGACCGACGGCCTTGGACTGATGTGTGCCACCTGTGGCTGATGGCAACATGGTCTATTTGGGTCCAGATCACTGAGGAATTCGGAGGGCGCCAAGCGACACGTTGTGAACGTTTATGTTGGACAGCGCTGTTGCCAATACAAAGATTTTGGTCAGCGCACAGTTGCATCAATCGATCATCATTGTCTAATCGGCGTGCATCTACTCTGAAGCTCCTTTCCAGGTGTTGTTCTGACTCTGAAAGACGACGTATTTGCGCATTCAAGTCACCAGCAACAATCAAGATGTCAATACTCTTTACCATGCGGCGAAGAGCTACAGTCAGCAAGAGCATAAATGGAGGCAATGAAAAGGCACCTTGTCTTTATATAGCGCTTAGTAACCAACACATATGCGGCTGGTCGCCGGTATCCAGTGAAGTAGATTAACTTCAGCATGTTTTCTGAAGGCAGTACCAACACCATAAATGTCTTGAGTCATTGACTCAAAATCGCCAATGACGCGAAGAGTGTAGTCATTGTCATCAGATTCAGCACCAAAGCGTCGAAGGTTCGTCACAACGCTGTTCTTTTGTATACGTGTTTCGAAGACACAGCACACATTTATACCAAGCGTGTGAAGAGTGAGAGTCAGTTTTGCCTGTTGAGCCATCTGACCCAGAGTGCGGACGTTAAGGGAACCAGTGTGAAATGAGGGCCATGGTTTGATGGACGAGTTACGAGTATCGATGACAGACGAAGAGAGCTCAGCGGTAGATTCTTGCTCAATGGACAGGGAAGAAGAAAGTTGAGGGGGTAGAAAAGTAAGAAGAGGGAGAACGGTCCACGTGGTCGAGAAAGTAGGTAATACTCTCTAGCTGCCCATTCCGAGAGGTTTTGTTCGAGGTTCCCCACTTATAGTCTTTGACTCAATAGCCTGACCCACAATTCAGTGGGGACCAGATCCAGCTCGGCAGTGTAATTACAGAGACCCATTAGGATCTCCTTGTGGCCTGTCACACACAACCTTTAACGATTTGGAATAATTCACATGTATTTTTTATCCGGGAATCAGATAAAAACATAAAAAAGGGAAAATATATAATGATGATTGAAAGCTGGGCTGAAGGGAATCGCCTACCCGTGCGGTCGACCAGGCAATCGATCGATCGACCGGACGAATGCGTTTTCAAACACCCGGCGAATTGGACTTTTGCCTCAGAGTGGAGAGGACAGTGTTTTCGGCGGAATTTTCTGGCTACGTTGGCAGAGTTTTTGTTAACACGTTTTTCGTGGTCAAGGCTGTTGGAATTTTGATTTTTCTTCGGCTGGGCTAGAATTGCTGCGGAGAAATTTCTGGGTGGTTAATTCGGAATAGCGAAAAAGGGAAGATCTAACATTTTTCGACCATATTACGTTACGCACCTGCGACTACGGCCAGCCGCAGATCGGAATTGGCGGGTTTACACCAATTTGACCAGGGGCTGTCTGTCTTAAGGCGGACAGTAGCAAACCACAGCACAGGGAGGTGCCCTCCCACCGTCAGAGACAACGCCTGGCGCTCGTGTTCTACGCTAATCAGAATGTGAACTTATAACCCGGAGACCTGTTGTCTCCCATAGCTAGGTTTTACGGTAACTGGTCCATCGATCTCACCCTAACGTTCGAAGAAGATTGGATTGTGAGATTGAGTTAGTCTAACTTCTAACCATTGACCTGTCTCGTATGAGTGGCTCTGAAGGCATTTGGAAAATGCCACCCGACCTAACTCAATGTGTCACAGGGGTACACAAACCGTCACACTACGCTAAGGTCCAGCCTCAGCGAAAGATGACTTCTAGTACCAATTAAATGAGCTCCTTCTCTATAGGAAAAGTACGGATACTGTAATCGTGGCTGGTGATCTGAACACCCAACTTGAAAAATTGTTCACACATGTGCTAGATCTAAACGATCAACACGGTGAAGCATGTTGCAGCAGCAACTTGTAGCTGCCCTGGTTCACTGCATGCGATTCGAGATCACTCAACCGAGAATGTGTTATTATTATTATTATTATTATTATTATTATTATTATTAGTGGTAGTAGTAGTAGTAGTCGTCGTCGTCGTAGTAGTAGTAGTAGTAGTGGTAGTCGTTTTCGTAGTAGTCGGTCTAGTAGTAGTCGTGGTAGTCGTAGTCGTAGCAGTCGGTCGTAGTAGTCGGTCGTTGTAGTCGGTCGTAGTAGTCGGTCTAGTAGTAGTCGTAGTCGTGGTTGTCGTAGTAGTAGTCGTGGTAGTCATAGTCGTAGTAATCGTAGTCGTAGTAGTTAGTTTTGAAGCGCAATGAGACTTCTGTTGTGGTCAGTGTCGAGGCTCTTTCCACATGTTGCATTGCGCTCTACTGGTGCCTTCGGGTTGGCTATCATTGACAAGAATCAGTATGCAGTACTTGTTGAAGTATTATTTTTGCTTTTACATCCTTCACACGGTGTTTTATTCATCATTCTACGATGAGTCATTAGTACTCGGAGCAGTCGAGCTAGTAAAATCCCTTTTAGGCTCTTCACTATCGCAGGTGCACTGAGTATGTATTTTCATTTCAGCTGATGTCTGAATTACTTGCACATGCGGGTATTCATATATTGTGGCCTTCGAGCTCACAACTACCATTTACTCGATCGATGAGCCACTTTATATCGCCACCTATTAATGAACGGTTGCCTGTGAGTATTTGTCCTGAATTCTTTCCTTCCACACATTATCCTTAGTATTATCTCTAGCGTACAATCTATTTACTGATTTCCTTATCATCCCGTGTATAGTTTGAACATAGAATGTCCACAGCAGTTCGAAGTTATTTATATCCGTCCAGTCTTCTGGTTGGAAAATGCGGTTAGGTCAAGATGCAACCGAAAGGACACGAACACTCTCAGTAGCAGGTGTTGCACCATATCTGTTACTTTTCATGAACGCATCGCTGGGGTTCGGATCGGGGATTTATATCGAACAACCAAGCTATTATATGGGTTGCAAGTATTTGCACCAGGTTGCGCTGGATATGTTCTGGAACTCCTGAAAACAACCTTTTCTATGCTTGGTCAACATAGTTGCTGTCGCAGTTTACCTCATCTCTCTACAAATTGTACGTAAAGCAACATGTTTATATTAAATTTCACGCTTCTTAAATGCGCCGCGTGAGTACTTTCAAATTTTATACTCTGTCGTTCATACTACCCAGAATTTTTGAGCACGCTGTTCACACAATTATTTGCTGACTACCTGAACGTCTGTTATCTGCCAATCTCGCTCTTGTCCGAATTAATCTTTAGGACGCCTTGGTGATAGCATAGCAAACTGCGTGAAAAACTAATCGAGTGACGACTGGTATTTCCTGTCTTTTTACATCATAAACAGTAACCGCACCAGGAACGTATCAACACTGTGTAATGCTCCCTTGCTGCCATGCAAACATGAATATTTCGATGTACGCTGTGATGCTGTCAATATGTCAGAATCTAGGAAGTCGCTCAATGCATTTTCTTACTCGATACAGCCCATAAGTCTGCAAGTCTATTGAATTCATTTCGCTTATTTTAACAGTCGTACTTTAGTTTAACACCATTTTCCAGATTTGCAGTTTTTCTTCATCTTTCTTCGATTTCACCTTTAAGTTCGGTAACACTTTTTTGCATCTGTAGTTGTACTATTCACCCCCGAACAGTGGTGTTTGTTTCCTAGGATACTATTATATATTTTACCCCGACCGACCAATTGTTGCATTATAGCGCTCGGCCTCATACCCCATAAGAAGTAGTGAATTGATTGAATAGTAAAAGATATATTGTTACCTCGTCTATAGCTTGCACGCTGTCCCCTCCATTCTCTCACCATCATATGTGAGCTCTGAATTTGAATTGAATTAGTTCCTTATTTAATGTAAGATGTCTATCATGGTTGGTCCACTTAATTAGTAGACTTTGCTACAGGGACTCTCTTCTCACGTGCATTTTTTACAGACCGCAATGGCCTTAAAACCAGTTCAGATGATCGACTAGCCTCGTAAGTTGCCAGCTGCTTTGTTGGTCTATTTTGCCAATTTCTCTTTTCCCCTAAACTCGTCGCTCCCTTTGTTCCTCGCAAAGTGCTGATTCCAATTTAGTTAATTCGTTGTTTAGGGTCACTAGCATATTGCCTTATGTACCATAGTCATTCTTATCGCTGTAACTTCGTTCATTTTTCAGCAGTGTTGACTTCTGATGTCAACTGCCCCCGCAATTCCCCTATTAACCACTCGTGCTCTTCATTTCCTATCTCTTCCTCTTCAACCCATGTCCGTCACACTCAGACTACGCCTTAATGTAGCGAGATATTTTTGTCTCGGTTATGATTCATTATACACTCAGCTCTACTTCTGACCAATAGCTACAGATCACACATATTTCTTGTCTTCCATTTTGGGGATTGGAACTGGGATGACACCTGTTTTTGTTCCCAATGCTCCTGTATTCGCACTAGTTGATGTCGATGGTTCACCATCACCTAAACACTGTCACAACGAAACAGGTCTTTACCTAGATGCAACAGCACACCTCTTTGATCCATTGAGTCTCTTGAGAACCACTCATACCCCATTGGTCACCACTTAACTTTCAGACGAACTCAGTCTCCTGGCCACCCAGATTTGTGGTCGGGACTAGGATTACACCTCTTCATACGAAACCGGACCGTTGCCATTTCTCCACTGCCTTTCGTTCTATCTTTTGCGCCAAACCTCTCGTTTTGACTTTGAAGCTTGCTAAACAGCCTCCTCGTGCTGCCACCTGGGGGGATTCGGGATTATCCCGTTCTCTACTAAAGAATTATACAGTAGCAATCCGCGTTACAGATGGTTGGCGGCATCCGGTTCCGGTTTTGCCTGCCATTGCAGCCTACATAGGACAGCCACAGGACGCCTGCGCCTACAGAGGTATCATGGGTGGATTGCGCTGCACCACCCGCAGTCCCATTCACACACCCCATATCCATTGTAAACCCAAAGGAATAAGACCGGGAGGCATGTGGATGGGAGCCACGTTTCATCAACGGAGCCGGCTCAGACCCTTCACAGGCAAACACAAGTACGCTGTATTTGGGAATCAATCGCAAACAAAGCGGTGGCTGGACCGTAGTCCGCTCCACATTGAGGGCATGGTACCACTCTTTGATCCTAACACGGCCACAAAGACTGTGCACCCCGTCCTCTCCAGGAACAACCAACTGTCTCCTGGACGAGGTAGTGGGTGCTAGACAGGTAGACGCCTTGTCAACATGCACATCAAGCGCAGTCACAGTGGGGATATCAAGCAACAGAAAATCTCTTGAAACGACAAGATGAAATAAAACAAATCCAATAAGACATACAGATACGGTGACATAACTCTTCACTTACTGAGCATATGAAATAAATTGGTTACGAACAAATCCGCGATAATTTCAAGAGGTCAGCAAATATATTTTACGCAAATGCTT